ACTCACTTGGTAGCCCAGGCTGGCCTCGAACTCACAGAGATCCGCCTGCCTCTGCCTCCCGAGTGCTGGGATTAAAGGCGTGCGCCACCACCGCCCGGCATAGTCATTACTTTTTAATCTGCCTCCTCACATTCATTGAATAAGTGTAGCTGTCAGGTTGCCTGACTTAAAATACTAGCAAGATTGGAATTTAGCTCAGCAATAGACAGGACCCTGGGTTCATTGCCAGCCTTGAAAGCACAACTCACAAAATATTGTTAAAGATAAACGTGATTTGTTATTGTTAATTTGTCCTGGCTTGGCAGAAAATATTACCATAAAGACTCCTTAATTATCTCTACTAGGGCCAGTGAGATGACTCAGCAGGTACAGGCACTTGCTGCCAAGCCTGACGTGGAGTTCCATCTGAGATCCATATGGTGGAAAGAGGGAACAGACTCCCACAACTTGTCCTCTGACCTCTACATGTGAGCTGTAGTGTACATGTGTGTGTAGAGTGTAGGTGCGTGAGTGTGTGTGTGTGTAGACAGGAACACACATACACGCCATCAATAAATACAACAAAATTTTTAAGTATTCTTTAGTAAAACATAGAGATTCCAGTAGCTCCATCCTGTCAACGTCTTGTAAATTGGTGATGCTTTCCAAGAACTGGATCAAGGAGATCCCAGGGGCCTTTTTTAGTTCTAGTTTATGTGCGTGGATGTTTTGCCTGCATCTGTGTTTGTGTGCCACTTGCATGCCAGGTACTCAAGGATGCCAGAAGAGGGTGCTGGATCCCTGAAAGTAGAGGTACAGAGGGTTGTGAGCCACTTTGGGGGTGCTGGGAATCTTACCCCAGTCCTCTGAAAGATCAACCTGTGCTCCTAACCACTGAGCCATCTCTCCAACCCACCCATTTACTTTTAAAGCTCATTTTTCTTTGCTCTGACTGTCCGTATCAGTTCATACAATGTCTTGAATGCTTTGTACTGTAGATTTACAGTGTGCAGTTGGGTTTGAAGTCTGGTGAGTACATAACATTAGAAGGAGATATAGGTTGGTGTACTGGTTTCTAGTTTCTAACTATGTCAACTTTGTAGCCCCCACCTCCCACCCCATTTTGGTTCTGGTGAACAAGAAAGGCCTCTCATATGCTAGGCAGTCATCTACCACTGAGCTATATTCATCCTCAGCTTCTGATAGGATTTTCTTAGCCATACTTGGTTCCTTGTCTTAGGTCTTTCACTGACTTCCAGTAATTAAATTAGATGCTCAGCCTCTCACTCAGAGATTCCTGTATGGCCATATGCTGCATAATGACAATTTAGTTATTTTTAGTTAAGAGCCACAAGGCAGCCCAAGGCAGGAGGATCACAAGTTTAAGACCTGTTTTAGACCTCTTGCCCTACAGCAGTGGTCCCTAGGGTCATATCACTTAGTAACAAAATAGGCATGTGATTTGGCGAGTGCATGCTTCGATGCTGCAAAGTGACCCAGTTGCCTAGCAACACATTTCTCAAATGTATCCTGCCATTAACCATGACTGTTATAATTTTTAAATTGTCTCTAAAAACAACACATTTATTTTCAGTTTTCCTTCTCTCCAAGTCCTTGTTGTTGCACATAGTGAATCTGAAGTCCAGTTTCAGTGAATATTTAGAGGATTGATAATGAGAAGGAAGATATGTAAGAAAAACCAAGTGACCCTAGAGTGATTTAGAGTTATCCATCTTAGATTTTTCTGATTGCTTAGCTATTCCTTCCACCCTCAGTTTTGGAAAGCTGGCAAATAGCTTCCCTCAGCCCTGTCTCAGATCATTTCCCAGAACTAATCCTGTCAGCAGAAACATTGAATATGAAATCTTTTTTTTGTAAGAGAAAATCAACACAGTAGGTTTTTACATTGAGCTGAGATGAATATGCCTTGAAAATAAGGAAAGTGTGAAATTGTTTAAATAATAAAAAGGACTCTCTAGTGTGAAAATGTTTGTCTAAGCTAAGTGTGGCAACACACCCTGGAATCCCAGTCTTTGAGATGCTAAGACAGAAGGGTTATAAATTTAAGGCCATCCTGTGCTGCATGATAAAATCTAGGCCAACCTGAGCTACATAGTGAGACTGTGTCTCAAAAACCAAGTAAAGAGGAGAAAGGTGTTCAGCATCTGGAAATTCTCTTGTCAGTGAGTATTATTTCTTGTATATCTTAGCCATGAATTGGAATAAATCTGAATTCTTTATTGTTTCTCTTTTTATAGTATTCCACCTTCCCCAAACTATCCAGCTTCTCATGTTTTGCTTGTTTTATTATTTCCATTAGAACGAGGGCATTGTCTGCTATTAGGGCCTTGCACATACTAGGCAAGTATTCTGACTCAGTTCAGTCTTTTGTGTCAAGCATCAAGGCCTTGAACTGGCCATGTAGTCCAGGCTAGCCCAAAGCTTTCAGTCCTGCCTGGGCCTCCTGAGTGCCAAGACTGCAGGTATGAACTGCCCATCATGTAGGACTTTTCATGTGCTTAACTTTTATTTTTATTTTTCCCTCCCTCCCTCTCTCCCTTCCTTCCTTTTTGATGTGTGTGTCTGTGTGTGTTACTAATGATTGAACTGGGTCTTTCATACACTATCCAAGCCTCCTGCCACTGAACTGTATCTCTGGTTTTACCAACTTTTAATACCAACTTCAATACCAACTTTTCTGCTCTTATTTTCAACTTCTGGATTTTGTTTTTGAGTTTTATTTTCTCAAAGTGTGAAATTTTGTTTCATCATGATAAAAATACACCATTGTCACCAAACTTTCTCCCCTCCTCCAGCTTCCAAAGAAAAGTTCGTCACATTCGCTCATTTTGTTTGTAGGAACTATTATAAAATCTAATTCTTTTTTTTTTTTTTTTTTTTTTTTGAGACAGGATTTCTCTGTGTAGTTCTATGCAAAATCTAATTCTTAAAAATTAAAATTTTAAATGAAGAAATTATTGTTTTCAAGCCCAGCATGTTGATACATGTCTATAATCCCAGCATTTAGGAAGCTAACTAAGGCCAGAGGATAGCAAAGAGTTCACGGTAAGCCTGAGCTTACCTGTCTCCAAAACAGGACGAGACTTTGTGATATTTTAATCTGATGGTCAGTTTGGAGGATTACTAAGAGGAAGAGTTATCTGTGGTTAGTGGTTATTTCATTTTCTGTAGTACAGAATATCTAAACCCCATATTTGTTTCATGAGCTGGCTCTTACTCTCTTGTCTCAGCAGACAGTCCTTGTTTCCTGACAGCCAACCATCGCAAGGTCCTTGCTGTCTGAATAATTGGAAAATATTCTTCCAAACATGTGAAGTTACTGGCTTGGGGATGAAAAATAACCACGTTAGCAATTTCGTGATGTATATTAAAGGAACAACCAAACAACAAGGTATTTAAAGAGACAGGTTCTTTTCATCCCTGCCCTTGCGGGCTGTCACAGTAGGAGACTATGAAAGCTCTTAGGTCATCTCAAGAGCCGCTGCTTTGTCTTGTTGAATTCACCTTCTTAAAGATATTTTATCAATTTGAAGCAAATGCCTTGGAGAATACTTAAGTTACATAAACTTCACTAAATCTCTGTTTGCTTTTCAAGCTTTTCTAAGCTGACATACTGTCATAATGTCAAAGGAATAATCAATAAATACCATTCGGAGGCAGA